AGCGTGACACTGAATTTTCCCGGGAAATGAATCTTTCGGAGAGTAGTTAGGTGGATCTTAAAGCGGGCGCGTACAAATTTATGGTCCGTGCCGTTCCTGTTTCCAGTTTCTGTGCCGCGATAGGAACGGCAGTCTTCAGCCGAAGAGGCCCAGCGAGCACGTACCAAAATATAATCGATCTGGTGTGTCGTTAGACCATCATTTGAGTGCCACGTAAGCAGGTGTTTTTTGGGGGTGCTGAAAAGGAGTGTTGGCCACGACCAGCCGGTTTAGGTCACCAAATATGACTAAGCGTTCGCCATTTTCGCAACGTTGACCAAGGCCGAACTTTACCAGAACATGCGGATTATGTTCGCCTGATGGACCAGTGCGTGCATTCCAGTCTCCTGCGATAACGAGAATGTCGCTTCTCGAACTACGATTCACTGCGTCTTGCACTTGGTTGTAGAGATCGTCTTTGATGGGCCCTTCCGCATGTAATATCGGAGCGATGACAGTCAGATTAAACGGCTTGCCCCTGAAACGCGCTATGGAAAACGTGGAAGACCAGGAGACCATGGCATTGTTGGCCCGGACGCTCACGGTGATTGCTACCCCGTGCAAACCGGATATGTCAGTTGGACTATTGTGGTAAAACCGGTAGGTTGCGTTGCTATGTGGTACGTTGATTAGTTTTGTGCCACAGTTAGATAATCGGATTTCGGACAGACAACAGATGTCCACCTTGTAGTCATGCATTGTGATACACTGGCTTCCTGTGTTTAGCAATGTTCTAACATTCCAGCAGGCTACATGGATGCTGGATCCTGTGCATAGATGATTTAGGTTCCCAGCTTGCTCATTTGTCACCCCAGCCACTTGGAGAGCGTGGGGCGCGTCGCTTCCCGGGAATGCCGTAGCATGAACGTGATATACCATTGTAAAACGATCCATGATTCATGAAACGTGACTTAGACAGCTTTATAGAATACCTTAGAATGAGTATTATCCGAATGACTTGATAATATACATTTTTTATTGATGTGGACTGACCATTCTTTATATTTCATCTGCGAGCTGGTTGACGCAATGGTTATACACACGCGTTTCGTGCGATGGGTCCGGAGTTCAAAGCCCGGATGGAACGGTAGATATCTACTACTGATGATCTCTAAGGAGAACGAAAATCGAGTCAAATGCTTCCCGTGCGTATGTTTAACTGGAATAACTAAGGATTGTGCTTGAAAGTGAAGCTCAAAGGGTGGTTCATCCACATCAATACAACTTATCTCACACCACGGACCACTTACAAATAACTGTGAATTGAATACGAATCTATGTTTTAATTCCTTTTTACACCAGTATATGACCAACTTTCAGGAAGGGGGTCATAGCCACACACAGGCTGCATGGGGAAATACAGAAATAGGGAAGTGTGTATGTGTATGTTCACAAGCTTGCAAAGTCGTGTTCCTTTACATTTCGTATTTTAATTCAGGGCATGAGCTTATCTTGTGAGCCCAAGTAACATTATTCTGCACATTTCCTACCCGTTTGGAATCCATTTAAATGCCAGTAGTCTAAGTGCTATTGAGGATGATTCTTTAGGGTGCTAAAATACAAAACATTATGTTAGAACCCTATAAAAATGTTTGGATTAGCCACAACGAGAAAAAACCAAAAGATAACATTCCTATAAGGATCTAATACAATGAGCACGGCGCACAGTTTCTTCAAACACATCCATTCCAAATTTTGATCTGATACCGTAAAAACATTATGCTTTGCAGATAATTAACTATAAACTTTGTTCACAAGTGGCACTGAAAATCGTAGCAAAAATATTGATATTGTGACTATGTATTGTCCCTGTCACGTGCTCATTTTGTCTGTTGTCGAATCCGTTCGGTTATCTCGATCATACTCACACAGGCTCTTCTCGAATTCACATGAAAGTCCAAGCACATTCAACCGAGTCACGTGACATTTTAACCACTGAGCTGGAAAATCGGTCGAAACTGTTCTGACCAGACACAGTCCAGGTTACCGGTCCTCGAACGGGTATTAGCTCTTACGTATTGTGATCATTCATCATATGTTGACGGCAGAATTCACATCCAAGTGAAAAAGTTTATAAGCTTAATTAAATGTAGGAAACCGTCAGAAACAGCAGAATACAAATTAATGCACAAATTATGATTTTGAAACTCGCTTTGGCCGCCTGAAATCATTAAACCCGTTTTCATTGTGAGATAAACGAAAAAACAAAGAACACAAATACTCACAAATGCATGCACAAATGTGAAACCTTCAGAGGTAACACAATGCACACAGTCTGCATCACTTGGTTTTCTAAATCAAATGCTTGACACCAATGTAAGTTTATGTGTAATGATACTATACATATAAGTCCTAGTAAATCGAGTTTTATGAGCGCAATGGAGGATTTGATTTGTTTATATGATGAATTCGTCGAGTACATGAGGCGTAAGCTGAAAAGCTGGGAAGCACTGGGCAACTGTTTCGATCGGGTTGGGTTTCAGTGGCAGTGCGAATCCATCGATCCAGCTGGGGATGCAACCCGGGACTTCACAGATAGAACACAAGCATGCTACCCGCTCGTCCACCGGATGACGTTAGAAGATGAACTTTAAAGGACTATCAGTCAAAATTGATGATTAGCCTGGAGCATTTCGGGTCTGTTTCAGATCGATTTTCGTATTGAGAAATTTAGTAACCCATAATTTAATCTCACGTTTCACAAAATGGCATGTTTACTTCATCTAGGCCATCGATCTCAAAATTTCTTTAATTGTGACGTTTGTAAGAACAACAGTATGACTGATTTTTAAGTTATGTTATTGGTTGCATAAATGGGCATTTGCAGCTGAATGAGAACACGTGAACATGATGATCGAAACTGAGTCTGCCCGTAGGTATCTAATTATTTTAATGTGGTGGATAATGGGAATAGGATGCTTAACAGACTAGCATATAGTTCTTATTCCAGTAAACCATTGCAGCGCTATTTTTATTACCCAAACCTTAGTTTATACAGACTTATTTACTGTACTTTACGGCGACTGGCTCCTTGAGGAGGATAAGCTGGTTCCATGATAAACACGAAGTTTGGTAACAGAGACGTCCTCAGTGTTACTTGGCGTTATTGTCGAGGACAGACCTCTAAACTTTATACAACACAGTGCGAACCGCAAGGTATTATCTTGTTGGTGCACGGTTGCCGGGGCTCTGTATGAGCTCATTCACCATTCGGTAGATGTCGGTGCAACACACGCATCCATGTTAATCGGGTGGTCTTCGGTCATATCCGTTGGAGCAGGCTGGTCATTTAAAAGTGGCTACCTTAGCGTACGGTTTCCCGTCCTCCCAATGCTTTTATACTTTGGTTACCCTCAAACTGGTTTGGTCCACCGGTCGAGAAGTTTGTCTAGGCGCGGCCGTCGATGCATGCCTCGGCTTTCGTGTAGATACAGATGAGAGTTGGGAACATGATGGAGCCCATAGAGGAGGAGGAGGAGACCAACCAACTTGGAGATGCCACTCCCATCAGACACCTCCATACACCTAGATTTACTCAAGAGCATCTGAAGGGGCTGAATATCAATTAACCCGCTTCTTTACTGTAAAGTGTTTTGAGTAAAAACCTTTCCATTAACGAAACATCGGATATTATCAATTTATAACTATTCAGTATCTGTTACTTTGGTACGAGTGACCTCACTTGAGAGAATTCGAGCGTTTCTTGCGATTTTGTGATCACAACCCTTTATGATGGCAATTACGTTCGTTGAAGATAGAAATGTGACAAAAAATTTGATCCCTTAAAATCCACAATATATTCTTTTTGAAGCTCTGCTTCACATATGCCTCATTTGAGCGCACTGACTGTTCGTGCTTGCTTATGCCTACTTGACTTTGCGATGTGACAAGCTTAATGAACGTTGCAGTATGAAACGACGAACGGTATGAAAAGGCTGAAATATAGGGCGAAATCGCACCAAGGGTGATAGGGAAAAATAAAACATTTTGACGTGAGATAGGCCCAGTTGAGTCACAAAACATCAGGTCGTACAGACAACTAATTTTCAGGTGGTGAGCGACAGAACTAGCAATGTACTTTACATTGACATTAGTGATTCTGCCTTGAATAATTTGCATTCGAAGAAATAAAGGAGGACGTGAAATACTCTAAAGTACACTAGTATTCAAATAAAACGAACTCAAATTCAAACCGGTGACCAAATAAATTAAGGGGGTTGAGGGAAGATTGAGGCACTATGTGTGCAAAGGATTGAATTGGAAATCGCACTGAAGTACACATTACAAGCCTTATTCGACCATTTGAATCTTCCAACTGTCTCCTGGATAGCCTATGTATTCTGGAAGTTAACTTCTTGTATGTAGAGCATTAAGTTGCACTTCCGGGTGTCCATCGACAGGCTGATTGGAATTTCAACAATTCAGTTGGCTAATTAGGAGTGAATCGAAGTGCAAGTGCCACAATATCAACTCTTACTTTTACACTAAAAAATCCTCTGCAAAACAAACCAGCTTCATGGATTTCGAGGAAAGCAGCTGCCCAAAAATAACAATCGGAAGCGAGATCGGCGTGGATTGATACACAGTACTTGTTCCAGCAAAGAGGGTCCTAGAAAGTTTAGAGTTCTACATCTCCAACATCTGATTCAATAGAGCTAAGAAACATTTTAAAATGCCTTTTGAAACAGCAGTGGTAGTAGTAGTAGTAGTAGCAGCAGCACTGGTGAGGTCATGGAGAGCAGACAAGACATTGTCTCACAGTTATGATAGCTAGAATAAGTAGAATATGATGGGCCAATTTTATTTGTGTTTGTTGTAAAAAATGTGACAAGCACTCAATGTCACAACGTCGTCTTAGGGTGTTGATTCCTACTTTGTAACGCTACTGTGATGCTAGTGATCAAACGCTTCTAAATCCACTACGTTCACTGCAATTGGTAGCTAATTCTCACATTAATAGATCAGGTCCAAGCCACGGATAATTCCAATCCGGAATACAATCGACTGGTTGACCGTTGACACAGATTAATTAGCTTTGTGGGTGGGATATTACGGATGAAGAAAAAATTGGTTTTCGATGTTTTGATTTCCAAACTGATCGCCCTGGCAAAGCTTCTTATGAAGTACGAAACTGGTTGAATATCGGTCGGCGTATCACCCAGATGGATGATATCGTCCGGAAAATTTCAAATACACTATGGCCCCATAGATAAGTGTTGGGGGGAGGGGCATTATCTAGTGTATCACTTAGTTGGACAGCCCTAGTGATGAGGGAAGCTCTATCTAATAGCTAGATCCAGACAGAAAGCGTTTCGATGCCTCCATCAATTATGGCTTGTATAATTGGGTGTTTTTCAATGGTTCCGAATCTTATTGTGTATTCCATCAGGTTGTAACATCCCCCAGAGTTGATCACCATATAATGAATCAAGTGCAATGCAGCAACCGATAAAATAAACTGTCACCGGTTGCTGAAAACCTGTAACGATGATTGATGCCTTTTCAACCTCAAGTGAAGTTGTGATAACTTAGAATTAATCCGTTATAACTTCGAGTGCAGCAAACAGTCGCGTTCTATGGGGAATACCACAAAGTAATTGGGTCTCGGGCCATCGCATGTCCCCGATTGGACCGGGTCTATCGAAACCCTATCCAGTAGGTATGAACTGAATTCTCCACAAACAAACAACTCATTTTTCAATGAGTTACCGAGCAGAGATGGAGACCCGATTAGAATTCACTTCGATAAGTAGATGATGCAAAGTAACTAAAATACTGGTGGTAATCGGGCCACTTAAGTCGCTACCACTGACTCACCGCCCCTTCCCCCAAGCTTTCAACACTGTCACCAGCACCTACCTTTGCGGTTTCCAGTCTGAAGACCTTAGCTGTTCGATCGTGAAATTCTGTGTAGCCCTACTCATTTACTTCACGGCGGAAGTCAATTTTTCTCATAATTGGATATCAAATCCCCATAACTACGCATTTGACATGTTCTGTCCATAACAAAGTGTTTTGTATAAATAAGTAGATTAGTGATTGACTAAAGCGTTAGTTTTATTCAGAAACACCCGTTTACGCAACACCGAAAAACCTCGGAAGGATTGATCAGTCTATCGATTTTTACCTGGAGAATTTTGACTATCATCTTCGGGGTTGGATTGAGATCGAAAACGTGATAAGTGTCATTTCAGTGCAGATTCAGTGATCGCTTGTGGAAATTCCGGATCAAATTGCCGAAGGGAAACTCTCCTTTTGTAGAATCCTCTGTTCCGTAGTTTATCAATGAGATGTGGGATTTCAGTAATAAGTAGCTTTATACAAGGACTCGAAAATTATTCGTGTACCAGGGGCCTTGATTTGCTCTATTATCCTGTTTCAAGGAAAATAATAATTGAAAATTGGATTTGTCAGACGATTTTGTGCATCAATGCCCATACACACAATTACGTCCACTGTTGTCGAATGTGTTTTCATCGCCGAATGAGTGTAAACTTTTCTGACAATAGACATGACGCATTTCATGTGAACTAAACATATGTGGTTAAATGATTAATGACTTGGTGGGCACTTTTCGGGTGCCATATGACCAGATACAAGTCGAATTTGAGTTAGACGCACGTCGCTTGTAGTTACCACAGTAAATTTACATCCAATTAAGGTGTGGTTGCACTTAGAGCTCCACAAATCTAAACAACTAGTTTATTGGAGTTTATCTGCGTAGATCATGAGATGCTGGATTAAAGTGAGTTTAGAAAATCTGATCATTTGCGGCTGACAGTCTTCACACTCGGTAAGAAAGTAACCTCATTTGGATAACTCAGGACAAACTCCCAAGACGAACACTACAGAGATGATATTCTTTGGGGTTGGTTGGATAGGAAGTCGATTGAACTGAAATGCTCCCCAGGTTCAGTGAAATTACTCAGAAAGTGGGGCAGGTGGGTATCTATTGAACTTTATAAGTAAGTATGATAATCTTTTGCTTCCTTTTTATTGAATCTGTAACTTTTCAGTTGACTTTTTACTGAGTGGGGCTGTGACCAATCAACAGGAGAAATACGAAAATGGGGAACTGGGATAGCGATGCTGGCTACTAGGCATTCGTATTGATCGTCATACCTACTTGAAAGATGATGATGACGAGGACAATTGAGAAATAAATAGGCTTTGAGGATATCATTGTTCACAAAAAGGATCATGTTATGATCAAGTGAACTCGGTCAAGGATGTTAAACGACCCAGCTGAATTTCAGGGACCAAATGCAACTAACAGAAAAGAATTGTCAACGTTTGTGAACAAGTCCGCATACCGAACACGAATGTAGAATTCTCTTATATTCAACGATACTTTATTTTGGTTCCTGTCTGGACACACACTGGGGATAAATTGATATGCCAATCAAATTCTGAAAGCCTGTTCATGAGTCGAACTTCACATTATCGGTTATTTATCCGTTCTTGACAGTTCAACTGATAATGAGGCTGATGAACAATCTTATTTCTGAGACAATCAAAATATGGAGTGCTTATTTAATGTTAGGGATTGTGCTTTCAATTAAACCGAGACCTAAACTTTTGTGATCACGTCTAAAAGTCCATCCTGGTGCATACTGAAAGGGAATTCACAGATCTGAAATCAATCTTCTGTCTCATATCACTTAGCACACCGTGTATAAATCAGATAAAGGCATGATGCAAGCGTCTATGGATCGTTCGAACGCCGGTGTAGCGGTCCGACATGCATTTGGTGAGTTCATAGTATACTTAATTTACTTTACTATGGCTGGCTCCTTGCAAAGGATAAGCCGGCTCCATTATGTCTTTGATTGCTGCTATCCACGCTTGGCTGCAAGATACTTGCAAATGTTGATCCAGTTTGTTTTTCATCGGCGGGGGTTTT